GGTGTCGTAAACAGTGGCGTTCGTGCATCTCAATTTCTTCCCAACCTTAGGCCACTGAACTTCTCCATTTTTTTTCGACTCCACTTCGTGCATCTCCTCAATTTCTTCCCAACCTTAGTCCACGGAACTTCTCCATTTTCCTTTCGACTCCACTTTCAACTTTCCTCTTCTTCTCCTATTCTTCATCCAAATGGGCAGCCAAAAGACAGCAACCAAAACCGGCGCACGAAAGTGCATGGTTAATGGTTGTTCAAACTGAACTCTATAAAAGTAAGTAAAATTGAAGAAGCATTGCATCCCAGTTCCCCGGAAAGATACGACGATGATGCAAATCTAAGAACGGATCGATCACCGGAGCAAACCGATTTACTCTCAGCACGTGTCTCAATAACATGTAATTAAAACAATGCAATGACCAATTCAGGAATCTTAGAAAGCGCGTGCTCACGATTACTTTGGTAGTTGTAGCTTCTATTCGGGAAGCGTCAACCTAGGTAATGTTTTATTAAGATGTCTGTGAGAGTCCGACCAACAGTGCCACCCATCTCCAGATGACTGATTTAACTAATTTAATACGAAGACGAGCATGCACAGTTGGATTCAGATGGAACGAATCTGCCATCATTCATCGGACAGAAATTCGTGATGTAGGAGAAACCAGAAATCATAGATTGTGATTTACGAATAATCGTAGTGAACACTGACTTGAACATTCCAATCTTCCGTTTACTCCTTCATCCAAATGGGTAGTCATGAAACAGCAACAAAAACTGGTAAACGGTTGCAGGAACTGAGCTGTGATGAACATCACTCGGCAACAAAAAAGGTGAGGTCACGCAAACGTGACAGACCGACGAAAGTGATGCATGCAAACACACCGATGAACATAGTGCTTCGCGGCCAGATAGGCCATCCCGTCGGCAATTTGAGTGGCCCACAGATACGCTTGACTTGGTTCCACCGATCCGAGGCCCCGATCACCCAGATGTCGCAGGTAGCTGGCCAAATCTCCTTCAGACATCAATTCCATGACGACCAGGGGGCTATTCGGAGCCACATCAAACAGGGCTGCATTTAACGCGGGATGATGTGAGGATTTGTTCACTTGCGTTGCACTTGAGTGTGTTGGAGAGGTTCCTAGTCAGTGAGCGACAGATATAGGGATAGTAGATTAGCCTAGAGGGCACAAATTAACTTCTAATGTGCAATCAAGACAATACTAAATATTGAGCCAGTTATACATATCTCCCCAGGTTAACTGAAGGTAGGAAAGATGGTGATAGCTGAGTGACTATGGTCCAACGGTACAGACTATGAACCGGTCTTCTCGTAGTTCGAATCGAGACAACGTTCCCCTACTTTTCCACCTGCTGTATCACAGCCTGACTGATGGTGATCCCATTAGTGAATCGATTATTGGTTATCCGATTGCCGTACATAACATATAACGATCAAGCGTCTCAAATAGCCTGCGCTGAGGAAGCCCTACTCACTGCCTTCTCGTGATAGAGGTGTTTATCCACCAAAGTGAGAGGGGACGAAAAGCCGGTTGGTGGACCACTGGCAGTTCACCTAGGGGAGTTGGCCAAAAACCCTGATTCGAAACCAACCAAGAGGAGGCATAGGAACCAACCACACGTTCCCGGTTGTCGCAGTGGGCACCTTAGACGTTTGACCCCGTCCGAAAGGCTTATGATCCGCAGAGCTGGACNCCGGCTCCCAATGGATTGCGGTTTTCACACACCGCCCCGCTGCCTTGCGGGTCAGGCTCTGGTTAGCCGAATGATCCGGTTGTAGATTCCTCAATAAAATTCACCTACCTCGACCTGGCAGTATTCGGTCTGAATGCGAATCGCGGAATGCGCTTCTTTTTCTAAAGATTATTGTACCATGATTTGTTTGTCACACAGTCTAGAGTCAGAGGTATGTGGATATATATGTATATCAACGCAGGAGAGATCACACAAAAGCGAACACGCTCACACTAATTACAATAATTTTAGGGACTGAATGTTCAGTGTAATACCGAAACTGCATACCGTTCGCTGATTGCGAAGACCAACGCATGTCCGTCATAAGTCCGAGGCACGAGTAATCTCTATTGAGTCCGATAATCCATTTTGATCGAGTCCTTGTTCGAGCGCAGTCAGCATTTACGGGTCCTGTTCTCCGTCGACCGTGGCACAAATTGGAGAAAAATGTTCTCAAGCGTTGTTGTAGAATCCCAGATCGATGATTCGTCCGATCCGGTCTACTAACCAGGCCGAGAAAACGAACCAGATGATAGGTTTGAAATTGTTTCATGTGACATGCCTCATTGATGAAGTCTAGACGATCGAACAACGTTGTCGCAGTATTAATTGTCTGTGGCGAGTGCATACAAATCACAAAAAGGGACATGTCGGGCGATAAATACGAATAAACAAACAAAGAACAATGAGGACAAGAAGGAACAGACGTGAACTGATTTGTCAAAACAAAAGATCATCGAGTAGCAGGGGTTTTCATTTAAAATTGCATAACGGATGTGTGGGGCACAAGGACGCAAGTTAGCAAACAACTATCTTTCCGCAGTAATATATATATATATATATAATGTAGAATCTGCCTTTTATCAATGCTATGTAGACGATGTCATATGCGTAGATGCTGCTGCGAAGAAAACCAATCTGGCGTCGAGAAAGTTCAACGAAGCTAATCAGAAAATAGAGTACACGTCGGAAAAAACGAATCTCCCAGAGATGGCCTTGCACTCATAGTTGTGTTCTTGCCTCGGGTCTGGGATGAACAACAATTCGTGGAAATATTTAGTCACCATGAGAAAACATAAACCGGACAATATAAGCCTTGCCCAGGTACACCAAAGAACAGTTCCAATCGGAGACTACCAAGATCTTTGAAGATGTGTTTTGCAGACTCTATTGAAGACGAACTAAAAGGAGGTGAAGATCCATTCCTGTAACAGGGATATCCCGAGGCATTCACCAATACCAATATGAATAATACAGACCCATCTAAACAGGGACAGAAAACGGTGAATAGAATGCCAGCCTACAAGTGTTGACCAAACTCGTGCAACATCACCCTCATTTTGAAAACCCATTTCAGCTTGTAATAGCATACTTATATATAGATAGTTATGTGTACAGTGTATTTATTCCTGACTTTATCTCCAACATCTACGTTCTTAGTTCATTTCTATCACCATTTGAATGTGCGCGACCTTGATAGTCGCTATAAAATTTGCAGTAGTTCGAAAGTTACATCTCTGATTTAGAAAAGATTTTGGGCAAAGTAGCATGGATTTTCATTCTTTTGAATAGATGATTCGTGTCCCATGAGAGTTTCTATTAGGTTGAGCACACGTATTCTAAATTTCTATTCTCTTTTCATTCAGTGCACAGTAAATAAGTAAATTATTGAAAATATTCTAACTTTAATAAGTTGCCAGTGGTAAAGGTGTGCGGTGTATTAGATGAAACTTACAAGTTCTGTTTGGCAGTTATCTTGGTGGATTCCATTCTAAAAGACTGCCTCCAGTGCTCAAAATCGGAGAGGAGCAAATGGTACATAGACGAGATGAAAGTGCAATACCTGTATAAAGTCTATGAGTCATTTTAATAAATAAATTACACTTAGGTTTTCTACTCTGACCTTGTTATCTTACAACTGATGCATTAGCAAACGTCATTGAAATCGCGGAATTGTACAATTTAATGGCATTTGGCTAATATAAGCAGTGACACAAGTGGATATTACATCAGATATGTTGCATCTGATGTGCGGCAATATCATATTCAATCCCGTGAATGAGGCTGGAAGAATAAAGAATTGAGAGGAACAAATGTAACAAAAACTAGGATGTTGCACGAGTTTGGTCAATACCTGTACATTTCCATACCAGTCGGGGAAGAAATTCATGCCCTAAAATTCAATTCTACGAAGGTCACCACATGATGTACCTACTGACTACTTCGAAACCACTGTATCAAGTTGGCGCAAGAAGACAAGTTACTGGACCGAGAAATGCTGATGCACAAGTTTATATCCAGTCCCAAGCTATTTTACAAACACGTAAAGGCCAGAAAAATCAAGTCTGGCGTTCCGGCGCTAAGATTGTCAGGATATTCCACAGTCATAACAAAAGAGGCAGCTGAAATATTAAAGTCAGTACGCTCAAGTGTTCACCGCACCTGCGAATACCGGATTATGACTGCCTTTGTTATTTAAGGATATACTATACCCAACGCTCACTACAACCGATTTTCCCCCAGAAATCATAGCATCGAAACTTCAATTCTTGAAAAAGAATTCATCTCCCGGGGATAGAAAATATTCACCTACAAACCCCTATAAACCTGACAAGCAAGGGTGCAACCATTAAGTAAACTAACCCAACAAATGTTCGACAAAACTGTGCTCCCACAAACATGGAAACAAGGAATAATTTCACCAATATACAAGGGTGGATATCGTGGTGACCCAGCTAACTACTATCCCGTTACTCTCCTCTCCGTATTACCCAAAGTCTTGAAATCCTTTGTTTCAGACAATGTGATGAGTCACTTGGAAAAGTACGTGTTATACCCTGCTCAACATGGGTTTCGTCGCAGGCGTTCGTGTACCACTAACTTACTTCTGGCCCGAGAAGAGTGGACAAAAGCAGCTGATCACGGTGCTGCAGTGTATGTTGTGTACCTCGACTTCTCCAAAGCATTCGATCGAGTGAACCACAAAAAACTGCTGAGAAAACTAAACAACTATGGAATTTAAGGACTTATACTGGGTTGGACCGAAGAACTCCTTCGATAACGCACCATGGAGGTTCAAGTTTCTGGACCACTCTCTGATCCTATCAGCGTAGCCCGAAGAGTTCCACAGGGATCCGTGATTGGCTCTCAACTTTTTCCGATTTTCATAAACGACCTAACGGACACTCTGGAGCCACAAACGCTCATGTTTTCATACGATGCAAAAATATGGAACACGAAACAAAACGGCTTGCTGGCACTTCAGAGAACACTTAATGTTGCTTATAAATGGTCGATCGAGAAGGTCATCGAATTCAATGCATCAAAATGCTTGGTCGTATCCCTTCACGACAAAACTCGGTTTCCGTACTTCTCAGGAGATCAACAATTTCCGCATGTCTCGAAACAGAAGGATCTCGGTGTCATTGTTCAAGATGACTTAAGTTGTTCTTCAAACTGCTTCAAGGTGTCGTCCTCCGCTGTAAGACATGTTGGTTTGCTAAAGAGAGTATTAGGCAAATTCGAATCTGCACTGTTCTCACGGTTGTTATCAGCGTGGAATCCATGGCTGCAACGCGATCGTGTGATACTTGAACGTCCACAAAGGGACTGAATTCCAAGGCTTATGTGGAAAGACTGGGTTCATTGAGGTTGTGCTTCATACAGAATAGTCAAGTTCGAGGGAACTTGATTTTGGTGTATCAAATAATGCAGAACCCTGATCATCCATGTGGTTTGTTGTTTGCCTTGTCGTCCAACACTCATTCAAATTAGTGCTACAGAAACGTCGACTAGAATGCCGGTGCCATTCATTTGCCCTCAGAGTGTGTACTATTTGGAATTCTCTACCACTCCACGTTGTTTCTGCTCCTACAATTGATTCTTTCAAGCACTAATTGGATAAAACTTTGGCAAGTCTCAAGTCATATTTCTCATCTTCCAATAGACAATAAATCCATCCATTTGTGCCAAAGCCTATGGGACAAGAAAATCAAACCATTTGTAAGTATTTCCGATGATAAAACTTTAACCCTTGTTTTCGCGATGAACAAGTTCGTTATCTTCTAACTCAAGCACATAAGTACGGGATTAGGTCCCTTTTCCTATCCGCCACAGTAAGATGCATAATGAAAACGGTATAGTTGACTATGTAGATACCGATTTAGGCTAGGTATCATAATGAGGCGACAGTTTTGTCGCACAAACAATCGCGAACATGCCGGATATTCTCGGGGAAAAGGGAATGGTTGATTTCGATTAATTCCATTGGAAACACACTGAATTTGGCTTGTGGATGAAATTCAATTCTAATTTTTTTTATTCTGGGTAAATTACAAAGCTGGTACTGCTTATTGAATTCCATAGGATTTTTGTACGCATACACTGGATTCAGGTTGGTAGTACAATTTAAATAGCAAATTATGACTTTCACTCACGGGTGCTGAAAAGTTAGGTGTAGTTTAATGCTTCATCCAGTCGTGACTTGAATGAATCGATCGTAGGTGCACAAACAACTTGAGGTGGAACGAAATTCCAGGTATTACAAACTCTGTGGCTGAAAGAGTGACGCCTGCAGTCTAGCCGACTCTGTTGGAGCAAAAGTTTAAACGGATGTCCTCGGAGGTGAGCAGTCTCGGATAGTGTTAGTAGAGTACTACACGGGTGGTTAGGTTGATGTAGTATTTGATATAAAAAGGATCATGTCTCCCCGTATTCGACCGTATTCAGACGAACAGAGTCCAAAAATTTGTAGTCTTTCACCGTAGGTCTTATACTGCAACTCTTTAACCATTTTAGTTGCTGTTCTCTGCGGACGTTCGAGTGACTTTCGGACGCGAATCAGCCGTCCATTCCAACCCCGTATAGCATACTCGGTGAGGTCTGATGTGTGCTGATAGTAAACGGAGAAATAGCTTTGTTTCGAATGGTCACTTCCTCGAAATAACGCGGTCCCGAGTCGGAAGAAAGAGTATTCGATACCACCGCATTCTACTCGGATAGTGCAAGTTCCCAGGGGACAGAAAATACGGTATTCACACACATACATCTACCTCCGACCGAGGAGGGGGAAGAGAGGATGATCTGAAACCCATGCGTACCTTGACAGCCACGAGAATATTGGTTGGATCTGGGTAGAACGCACTAGCCGGGGTACGCAGAAGGCGAACCACGCCGCGATAGACCGTACCAAAACTCCCATGACCGAGGGGATAGTTCCAGTCGAGCAAGTCAATGTCAGTTCGCTCCATCTCCCAGTTATCCACCTCGTAAATTGTCCAATAGTCCGGATTGGTGGACGTCCACGCGGTCGCACGAAGATAACTAAACAGGGAAAACAGACACATAGCTGACCTCGAAATAGATGAAATTCCAAGTGCTACCACTGCACAAAATACAAAAACAGGATGATTCTCCCGACATGACTGATCAGATTCCAAACCGCATACTAAAAAAACAATAGAAAATCGAGGATGGTGCCGACGGTGTCCATGCCTGGAAGATGTGATTGACATGCTGTTCAAGGAGTCAATTCGATCTCATGGTAAAAGAATCTGATCTTTGGATGACATTCACATTTCATATTGAATGTGCACGCGGAGGTGATGATTTGACAGAAGTTGCAAAACACCTCAGCATCAAGATCAAAACATGTCGTGCTATTGCAGCTACGGATCGGGAAGTAACACGAAAGCCTGGGTTTTATAAGACTAAATTCAACGACGATTTCACAAAACATTTGTGATGTTGTTGATGAGAACCCTGCAGCCACATTGAGGCAGTTAAAGGAACGCATGGAGACAGACTTCCCGGGTACTTCTATCAGCAAGACCTCCATTGATCGATTGCTGGATGAACATCACTATTCAGTTAAGAAGCTGACCATCCAGCCCATCGAACGGAACACGGAATCTGTCAAAGTGAAACGAGCGGAGTATGGCGATTGGTTACAGAGATCGGGCAACGCAACCCTGAGACTGCATATTGACGAGACCAATTACAACATATGGTCCAGTCGCAGTTTTTGACGATCCAAAGTGGGCTGTAAAGCCATTAGAAGCCTCCTGTCCAGCAAAAGACCCAACTTGAATATAATAGCATGTTCATCTGTCGCTGGTATCCTTAAATCTGAATGTCATCCAAAGATCAGTTGGCATGTTTTCAATGGGTTTCTATCAAGCTGCTCTACACTAATCGTTGCTGAGCAACCGGGTGTCACAGTAGTTTTTATCTTAGACAATGCGCCCGTTCATCGAAGAGCTTTGGATGCGCAGTTAAATGCCAACCACCATGTCCGATTTCTCCCACCATATAGTCTGTTTTTCAATCCATTGGAAGAGGTCTTCAGTAAATTCAAACAGGTGAGAGATTTTATTCTTTTAATTCCCTTGTCATTTAGTACATTAAAAACGAGATGTCCCAAATGGTTTGACGATACGGGCACATCGTCTAAACCTATTCCAATCACTATGTGGTGCGGCATTTGATACCGTTACTACAGTCAACTGCGCGGCATTCGGTCGTCACACCTTCTCATTTATTGGTCAAGCTTTGCAATATGAAAATTTGTAAAATATAATTTTTTTCAACATTCGTTGACCCCAGAATATACCGATAGTTTTTGTTCTAACTCGCCTACAGTGGTGTGGCCAAAAGTTGTTCGTCGAGGCTAAAGGACTGCGGGTCGTGGCTAAAGGATTGCGGGTTTTGGGTAAAGCTTGATGGGAAAAGGTGTAGACCATCAAGGAGCAATAGACTCAAGTATCGGTCTCGTTAGAGCACCTTAATGATGCGTGATCACCGGCCCAACCCAGATTTGTAATGCAGAGAGAGGGAGCATGGACATGGAAAATGTGTGTGTGTGTGTGTGTCAATCAAATCACCCCGGGAATGAGTGAAATCATTGGTTCAGAAATGCACTTGGCCTCCTCACTGAGATACCACATGTCCCCCCCTCCCAAAGTAAGCTAGTCGATATAGATAGACATGTGAAATCTAATCCAAGTTCTCGCACTAATCGGAATCTTTTGTGCAGTGTACCTGTTCCCGGCTGAACTTATTTCGATTGATTGTTCTTTGCGATTGGACCGAGGGGACGGACAAAAAACTGCAACCAAAGCGAACGTGTCAGATTAACAACTTAAATTTTTCCGGTTAGGTTTCAATTTCTAATTTTAACCTTATCAGTAAAATACGGGGGGAAAAAAACAACAAAGTGCGTAACTGAAAGAGATGTGCACCACCCGGTTTGGCACAGGATTGACGGTTTTGTCTCTAAATTTGAAGGTATGCGAACTTCACATTAGATGTACAAATTATTGTGGCTCTGCGAGCACGTAACAATGCAAATGTGTCCAAGAGTTGTACAGAATCTGCATTGATATTATAAAAACATGTGCTAGTTTTTTTTGACCACATATTGAATGACTACTGTTCTGATCTGGCGTAATGCGGGTTTTTTTCCCGATGGGTTATTCATGCAGTCAGGAACTGGTTCAGCACTTTGCGGTCAAATTGTTCGCAACGAGATGAGTAACAAACAAGTCGGGGCGGGGGCGGGGGGGGGGGCAAATCATCAGGCGTTCTCAATTTGGACAAAGGCAACCAATTGGATGGGAGTGCGAAAATGCACTTACCGCTGCCGAGCGTAATACACCATCACGACAAAACCGATTAGGACCAAGAACAGAGTGAGAAAAGCCCCGACGAGGAAAATCCAGGGTTGTTGACCTGTGGGTTCGATGAGATGGATGGGAAGGGGTGGGGAAGTGTGGAAACACGGTAGTCTTAGAATCAGTCGATTTAATCAATATTGTGGAATCATCAGAAGAAAAACAATGGCTTTCAGGAGCCGAATTCCGGTATATTTGGCTAGGCATTTCCAAATAACTATTGGCACAGTATTGAAAAGTGGTTCTCGTAGCTCGGGTGAACTGAATTCCAGTTTATCCGTTCGTCGAGCTTGGCTATTTGTTTGCTAACGTTTTATCACCAGCCGAGATTATATCGTCAGTGCTGACACAATGAGATTGCATGTTCCTCGTTAGGCGTCTAGTCATGTTCTGCCTGTATATCGATTGAGTTTACCACGCAAGGGTCTGTACTACGCTGGCCAATAGGGTCAGTATGACCCTAACTCAAACGCAGACCATATGACAAACGAAAGAACAGGATTAATCCAGTAGCCACCACACTCGGTTTCACGGAGCATCGCTATTGACCAGTTTCTTTGGTACAAATGGGTGTTGAGTTAGGCTTGATTTGTGGTAGTCAGAGGATAACTTGAGTGAGAGGACTTCCAGCAGGACGAAACTGGCAGAGTTACATGATGTTTAGAATATTTAAATACAATAACTGATCTCGGATCTGAACAGAACCCACAGAACGCGGAACAACCAGAGTCCTCATTCTACCCAAGTTCCAATATCATTCCCACTGTTTGCCTGTTGAAAAAAAGGCCAACTCCAAACCAATGTGGACATACGCGACACGGTACACATCGCTTACCGGCCCACAAGTGTTCAGCTGCACCCGAGTGAGAAGGAACGATAATGAAAAATGTATCCCCATCATTCCAGGATGATGAACGTGCTAAAGAGATTGCACGCAATTGCATCGCGTAGACTCCTTCAGCCAGATCGGACAAAACCACCTCACCAAAGAGACCGTGAGTATGGGAAGACTGGGTGCTGTGGTGCAGAATGGGAATCTCGGTGGTCGTAAGTGATCCAGTTGTTCCGGCGAGGCTTGATGACGGGGTTAGCCAAAGCGAGATAGATATGCATTTGGTAAGCCAAGCCACAAATTGACTGTTGGAGCGAGTTGTCCACTAAGTACAAGGAAGTGGAATAGTCCGTGGATAAAGTGGGTGCACCGTTTGCGTGAAAAAAGGAGAAAAATAGCGTTGATAGAATTGTGAGAAATGCTGAAATACTAGATCGATTGTGGTTAAAAAATTAAACAAAACTTATTGTGTTGATGAATGCCAGCTCGGACAGGAAGATTCAAGTTAAACATTATTGCGTACATGTTAGATGATAACACTATCACCACAAAGCGACAAGATCGTGGTTGGAAAAACCTACCCTACCGAATCGAATTCGTTTAACTTAAGGTTTTAAACTAGCGACAAGATTTTAAAACGTACAACCACAAGAATATCCCTTCCTGTGTATCTATATCACGGTTCACACCAGTCTGAGGCCAGATTGTGCGCCAAAAAAATCATGGTACAATGATCTTTATGAAAAGAAAAACTTCCCAAGATTTGCATGTGGGCCGAATACTGCAAGGTTACCCACGCTACAGCACGTGAATTTTTTTGAGGAAACCACAACCGGATCATTCGGCTCACCAAAGCCCGACACGCAAGGCAACGAGCAGTGTGAAAGACGAGAGCCAGCTGAAGCGAGCCGTAAAAATTCTGCCCATCGATCTAGATGGCGTTGCTGAATATGGATCAGTGTGCGTCGGACTCCTTAATTACTTCACTTCCGCCTGCTTTCCTTGGACCTGTAATCCTTATTAATCGGAAAAGATAGCGACCATTGCAGATAGCCGCAGCCTTCTCCATCTATCTACACTTTCCTATCCATCACTTCTCGCGGTTAGTCCTTAGACTCTTGATGAGCTGGCGTTTAAGGGATTTGTGCGCTTTGTAGTAATCTGAATCCGAAGAGATTGGTTTTGCAAGTGTCCAGCAGAGCAACCGAAGACGGAGAGATACATCGTTTTTTATTTGATCGTGAATCAGAATTTGCCGTTGTTTCTATTGACATTTTGATCGCTTCCTTGTTTGTCCAGAGCTCACTGAGTCCTCCGGCTGACGGTTAACTGACAGTTCCGCTTCGAAGGCCGATTTGCAACTGTCGGTGATAGTGTATCTTGGGCATCCGTTTTCGGTGGCTTTTCTGCGTTAGTTTACTAGGCGAAGAGAGAATCTCGCTCGTAGCAGAGTATGGTCTGTGTCCACGGTTGTTGACCAGTAGTAGCGGCAGTCTTCAATGGATCCTCGCCAGCGGTGGCTGATGGCAATGTGGTCCCACTGAAGGAGGTCGAAGACCGATAGCAAACTTCTAGGATTCATCATATTAGAGCAGTTAAGTCAGTACGGGTTATTGCTAGTTGTCAGCAAATCGCGATACGGTCTAGCACAAATCAAAGTCATTTATCTCACTGAAGGTCTAAGGCAACTTTAGATTCGGAGAGCAGACTGCGTTTCGTGTGTAAATGTTCTCAGGCGTGATTGTCCTTTGCCACTAATTGGGGCTTGCTATCGCGTTCAGTTGAACGCGGAGTGATATCCGATGGGTATCGTAAACAGAAGGCACCTGGGAATATTTGGGATTGAGAAGAAAAACTAGATAGCTGGAAAAGATGATATTCCAAATGGGAACCTAAGACTTTAGGACACGACATACTTTGCGGCAGCCCGCACAGAGGGAACCCTAACCGCAGCCTTTGACCCGCAAGGCAGTGGGGCGTAAATCCAACGAGGGAGCGTGAGCGGAGCACCCGTGTGGGAGCTTCTAGAGACCTGTTACGCAAAGCCTTTGAATTTCGGTTAAGTTTATTTGCTGGTGCGTTGATTGTCGGTCCGCTTTTCGCGATCAGCCCTTAGCCTCATGCACCCAATGAGACAAGCGGAACGTGGACGGGACAGCACCTTCTAGGCTGAGGGCTGCCCAGCGTGATCGGGCGGTAGCTGTCCAATGAAGTTGCCCAAGCACCTGTAAGTCTGATCTTCGTCTGGCCTCCACCCGTTGACCTTTCAGGCATGATTGGATCTACGGCTATCAAAAGCCATCCTGTGTAGCTCGCCGGGTCATGGAGGCACGCAAGCCATCACACCACGTCAAGTTGCATAGGAGTCGTTCGTCTCGTATAATCACGTTTCAAAATAGGATAATGAATGCCATGTGACTGTTTTGTTTTTCTAACTGAACAACAAAAATAAACACTATAAACACGGTGTACTGTGTATTAGTGACAGTTGAGTGATCAGCCATTCATTATTCATTGCCCCACTCTCAAAAAATAAGAAAAGAAGGCCTAATTCTGGTCCCCTTCGTAATTACATTCCGCGGAATTCTAGTTGCGTGATTTTTGAATTATTTCGACCTGTGTACAACAGGACAGCCTCCAAAATCCCAATACAGTCGGGGCTGGGTTCTCGGATTGTGGCTGATCGCTCTTTTTTCACCAAAATAAGAGAACGAAAAGCCGACATCGGAGTCTAAAATCGGGTCAGTGAATCACTGGCAGTAAACCTAGGGAAGGTGACTGAAAACCGCAATTCCGAACTATCCGAAGAAGCGTACGAAGCACATACTTACACATATTCTTGGTTGTGGCAGTGATCCACGGCTCGATTGGGCATCGAGCTCCCTTGACCTGCGCAATCTGTCAGCAGTGCGACCATGAACGAATCAGGAGATTTTTAGCAAAGATGTATTATACCGCGAATCGCTTAGCATAGTGTGTACACAGAAGCGTGTGAAATATAACTAATAATAATGATAATAACGACAATGTTCTACTGGTCCTCAGGCTCAAACAGTAGACGTACAAGAGCATGCCCCACCGATATTGCTCAGCCAAGAAGTGCAGCAAACATTTAACAGAATGAGGCGGCTATTCGTCAGAATGTAGGAGCTACTGCACAAATTAGAACTGTAGTGAGTCCTCGATGTGAGCAAAGGGTTACGTTAATAGGATGTCAGATTACTCCCTTTCGATCTAAACTCAGGCCACAATGAATTTACCTCAACAGATTGGGTCACAGTCACAGTTTGATTGAGATCGGGAACCGGACTGATCGAGAGAAAATCTTCCTTGCTAAACTGTACAGGTCGATATCGAATCTGATAGTAGAGAATCACACCGTTTGGATCAGCAGGTACAGACCAGCGAACTTTCACGGAGCCAGGACCATGTGGAGCGTACGACACGGAGCTGATCGGGATCGCATCGGTCTGAACTGTGCACAGAAGATGACAATAAGAATGGTGGTGATAAAAAATGAACCAATGGAAATAAAACACTGACGAAAAGGGCAAGTTCCGGTACTTCAAAACTATGTCAATACATCGCGATATATATATATACCTATATATATATAATTACATCACAGGAGGATTTGATTCAAAGTCAAAGTTTTATTATGGGCGTTATTGCAACCAGATGCTTTTGTTGTGCCACAAGGTGTTTACACGACTTGAAACGTAACAATGATGAACAAAGTTCCGTATGCTGCATTAGACTGTGTTAGGTGTGCTCATGGATGTTGGAATGTAATTTGTTAATGATTCGTCAAATTTCACCTTGAGGGAACCAATCGTATTGGCACAAACGACATGGGATTGTACGGAATTCCAGGTAGTGCACACTGACGGCGAAGAAATGACGTCAACAGTCCAGTCGAGATCTTCGGAATAGTAACTTCAATGGATGTCCCGGTAGATGAACGTTTGATGACAATGTAAAAGGGATGGATTGGGTTGTGTAAAATTTGGTACACTAAAATCAAGTTTTCTAGAATTCGACGAAACTGACCAGAGTAAAGACCTAAAGACTGCAGTCTCCTCATGTATGTATCATAAAAGAGTTCTTTGATCATCTTCGTGGCGAGCCTTTGTGGACGCTTCAAAATCTTATGATA